ACTGCTGTTGCAACCTTGTAACAACAAGAGCTTGTAAGGATGCATAAGAGTACTCCCCATCACTTCTCAGACTTACCTTAAAAATTACTCCCCCAGTAGAAGAACATGTCAACATATAGTTGCCCTCAGAGTCAAAAGCAAAAAGCCTTCCTCGTGGGAATTGGACTTGCTTGTAGCCACTGTACCCAGACAGAACAAAAGGACCTGTAGCTTCACTGGGAAGATCGTACTCGGACACCTTCAGGCCACTTTTGTGGATATTCCACTGAATAAACTAGAATGACAGAGAAAGATGAAAAAAGCCCATAGTTAAATTGACTGGGATGAAAGTAGAGCGGTCATTCATCATTTTTAAGCAAAATGGCTATTTCTCACAAACAGAAGATGGCATTTTGACATCTATATCAAAGTGGCTGTATTTATAAATCACAGGCTGCAAAGGCTGTAAGAGTGCCTACTATCCAGGCAAACATATGCTCTACCTTCCACAAGTACTGCTGCCTCTGTGTCCTTCCACATTGCATACAGGATCCTGGTGGGAATTCACTTAATTAACTAATTCACTTAATTAACATCAGCCAAGGGCCCACACCTTCAGGCAGTCTCTCTCCCTGAGCCACAACTCTACTACTGAAGACTGTGGAACTGCAGAAATTGAAGCCTTTGTTATAAGCAACAGGGAGCTGCTGACAAGGAAATTTATGCAAAGTGGTCAAGGATCTGCTCCCTGGTGAATCCCAGATTTCAAGTGTGATGATCTCGGGGGCACAGAAAGGTCACCTTCACATGGATTCCTAGGAAGGGGACATCACCAACAGCAGGATTTGCAGACAAGGTCCAAGAAAGCTCCAGCTGTTAATATGCTTTCCACCCACTCTCTCTGCAAAGACTGCATGCAGCAGGGTGGTACTGCAAACGTAAGACTACAGTTAGCAGCCTGCAGATCCTCCAGATTCTGATGGTATTTTTACTGCTATCCCTACCACATGAAGAAGACTCCAGAAGGGATCTCGCTGCCAGCTGACCAGCAGAAGATCACCCAGAGCCTACCTTGCCATCCTCGCCTATGCTGTAGACTGTGTTCTCGTCATAGCTGAACTCAACAGAGTAGACTTCCCCATCGTGTGCCTTCCAGCTCATGGCGCACTCATGCTGCTGCATATCTGAGGGAAGAACCAGTACTGAACACTCCTTGTACTTGCACAGAGCGGAGAAGAGAGGCCCTTTACATTCATAAGGTCTGTCCTAGCCCTCTAAACCAGTCTGGGGGAACCCAATCCAATCCCAATCCAATCCCAGCACCCTGTGCTTATTCTCCAGCATGTGGCTTTTACATTGGCCACAAAAATAATTGCCTGTAACCAGTCACCTCTTCCTCCAGCTTTACAGGGCTGCTCACATGCTCACTGTCAACTGCATGCATTCTGCATCCAAGCTCCACTGCCACCTTTCTTCTCTTCCTCCCTTTGCTATCTTGTCCACCCTCACAGCTGCTGCCAGCTCTGCCCTCCCACAGACCTGGGACTGCAGCCTTCAGCTCAGCACCCAGGCCAGCAGCAGATCCCTCATACACAGAAGAGGGAGGCCCAAACTGCTTTATCACAAGGACAGGCCGAAGAGAACAAAACCTGAGAAACTGAAATTGCTCAGGGAAGAGGGACTGATGTGAGGCCCTTGCCTTCAACTGGAAGGTCACACACTAATACATTTCCTCAAGACCCAGCCTCTGGCAGTGTTGCTGCTATATGGCACAGCTAAGACCACATGGCTCAAGGGCAAGTTAATTCTGCTCCTCAGCAGGAGGGAAATAACAAATCCAGCAGCACTACCAGGGTCTCCAGCCAATGTCCCCTGGAGAAAGTTTATGCCAATTCACTCCTGAGAGCTATTGTGGAGGAGAGAAAGTAGCTTCCACCTTGGTGTTCAGGCATGTCCCACAGCTGCCTCCCTGCTGGCAGAAGAAGGGTGCTAGGGGCAGCTGGCTGGGGACACAGAGGGGCCACCTCACTGCCCAATTTCAACATACCGAAGAGACGAACAATCCCATCTGCAGCCCCAGTGACCAGCAGGTTGCCATTGTGGTTGAAGGCTGTGCAGTTAATAGCAATGGGCTCAGGCTCCAGGGAAAACTGCAGCTAGAAGGGAAAGTCTGCATTAATGACAAGAAATGGAGCTGATGGTGCTGAGGAGCTGATCTCCAGGGGAGGGAGGAAAGACAGTATCTAGTAGCAAGAACTCCTCCAGTTTGGAGCCCTACACCTCTCATGACTACAGATTTCAAGGTTGGCAGCTACATTTTACTGTGACACTAAACCAACAATTCACCTCAGCCAAGCCACAGCTTTCTTGGCCATGGCCTCAAGGCTGCAAAACAAGCTTCTGGCTGGCATTAGCTTGAGTATGTTGCTTCCTTCTACACATCAGGGACAGCATTTCTTAAGGGCAAAGGCAAGGGATGGGACAAGGATTCCCTGCCAGAATCTGACCCATCTAAATCAAAACAATGGAGAAGATGACATGAGATGAAACCTCTGAAAGAAGCACTTAAAAACAGAGAGAGCAGGGGAAATAGCAGCAAAGAAAACCCTTCAGTATAGCTCAACTGCAGAAAGCCTGATCAATCCACTTGGGACATCTCCAGTCACAACCTGTGCAAGCAGGATAGAAAACAAGGCCATGGACTATTTTAAAGAATCCCTCAAACAAACCCAACACACTAACAAAACAAAAAAACCCACCCAAACCCAGCAGCTACTCACACTATTCATTTTTATCCTGCATGTGAGAGGGGAAAGGAGGAAGTGGGGGGTGGGGGGAAGAAGGGTACTGAAAGTCAGCATAATTTAGACAGAGGGCTCCTACACGTTGAAACAGAAGACACTCATTCTCAGCAAGCAGACTGAGAAAGGAAAGAAACCCAGCAAGTACCTGCTGCTTCATCGTTTTAGTGTCCCACAGTAGCAGCTTCCCAGGAACCTGGTTCATGCTTTTGCCCCCAGAGCTGACTGCTGAGAAGTCCATGTGGGAGATGGGGCTCTGGGCTGCCGCAGAACAGACAAAGGAGGCACCACTTGGGCTACAGGCAAGCGAGAGGATCCTGAAACACAAACAGTCTGAATTGCCTCTCTCCAGCAGCTGCCTCAAGCACAACACTTGACTACAAGCTCTCCCATTAAGACCCTGCAAGACACGGTGCACTGTAAAGCAGGGCACGATTTGTGTGCTTGGACAGATTTTGAGTGTCTGCCATTTAACTGAGCAGCTTTATGCTGCTCAGACAGGGACTGCCCTCTGGATGAAGGCTAGATAGACCTGCAGTTGCAGGAAAGCAGCAAGAACATTGAGACTTCACCTACCTTTTCACAGTCAAAACCAACAACATTTAGATATAAAAAAAACAGTATTCCAGAGTTACCTGGGCATGTCTTCATCAATGCTGATTTCACAGAGATTCTTCTTTGCTTCTGTGTCATAGAGACGAACTGTCCCAACCCCACTGCCAAGCAACAGCTTGAAACCAGCAAGGAGGAGATGGAAGGAGTGTGAGTGAGTACAATGATGCTGTCCAACAACCACCAACACCACAGAGTAAATCTTTTTCTACTTATGCATTCAGATTAAACTTCACTCCATTAGGGTACATCTTGTCTTTCTGTGCATATCACGCTGAGTAGGACTACCCCAGAGCCACAGAAGTCAGAGTAAAAGCACTGCTTTCCCATGAGAAAAAGATCTGATAGGCACCAAGGTGGAGTAAAAGCCACTTTCTAGAGCATGGCTCAACATTATAGGATGCAAAACATATGTGGAGTCTCAATATCTAGGGGAGTAAGGAAAGAGTAACACAGAATTAACAATCTGAGTTTAAAAGAAAACCAAGTAGAAGCCGCCTCCTTTCATCCAGGGGAGAATAAAATCATCCAGAAGGGCTCACACATGCTTTATCAGTGGTGCTACAATTTAAATCAAAAGTAAAACCATGGAGGGATGCATTATCAAAGAAAATGAAGCAAGCCAGATCCTTCTCACTTCAAAGCCTGATTTGCTGCTGAATCCACATATATTTCAGAAAGAAGAATCTTTCTATCAGCAAGCAGGAAATAAACTCCACAATGCAGAAGAAACATCAGAACAACTGCATGGACAACTTCCTTTCTAAGAGCAAAAGAAAAGAAAGAGACAAGCTGTAGCACCAGCTCTTCACAGGTGGCATTTTGGGGTTAGCAGCAACACATATCAGTGCCAGAATGTGAACAATATTCCCTCAGTTGCAGGCCTGCCTTCTCACACAGCCCTGTCTCTTCGCCAGGGGAGGGCATGAAACACTAGCAACAGTTCTAGGACTCAGAAGAATGCATATAATTTAAGGCTGCTCTCTAGTAACAGAATTAGAGAAAAAGTGCTATAGGAAACATTTAAACAAGCTCCGAGCTCCTTATGCACATGCCAACCCTCAACTCATAAGGCACCAGTATAAAACTGGCTATGGAGCCCTTTTCACACCTGCACAAGCAGAATGCCAACATCACACCCCTGCTCCTCAGCCCTGCTCTCCCTTCTCTGCTTCTAGCTCAGGGTGTGGGTAAAGCTCCAGAGCTCCCTGCTGCAGGGTTCCCATGGGCTGTTGTACCAGGCTGCCTCTGCCTGCCTTTACAAGTGGCTGCCTGCTCTGCCTGGAGAGAGGCACTTCTCTTAAAGGAGCTACTTCTATCCTGCAGCTGTTCCCACACTGCAGCTTGGGAACTTCTGTCTTTGGGCAACCAGTGGTGAATTCCGTGCTCAATACACAAAGCACACTCCCCACTCTAGTTTTTCCTAGACCCTACAGGCTTCAGTTCCCCATGTCCCACTAAACTGGACACTAACCGTTGCCCTGATCTTATCCACAATGCAGCTGCCTAGAAGTTAATGTGCAACACATAGCAACACAGCCCCAAATCATCCGCTGTGACTCTCGAGCCTCCACACGCAGACTACTCACCAGCCGATCACGCTTGGTCGCCCATTCCAGAGACAGCAACGGAGATTTGGAAATGGATGAAGCTTTAGTTTGCATTATAGGGTTAAAAGACCAGACTTTGATGACCCCGTCCACATCCAAGCTGGCCACCCTCCGTCCAGAACAATCAACCCTATGTGCAGAAGGAAACTGATTGGATATTTTTCTCCCTAAAGTTCTTAGATGCAAGTAGATACCCCAGTAGTCCGTCCTCTCAGGGTCATACACCAATTCCTTCTGCAGGAATCAGAACTTCCTTGCACCAATTCCTGTTCAGTCCACAATAACTGGCACAATGAAGTACACCAAGCTCCACATGCAAAGCGTAATGCCCTTAAGCAATACCATCCTGCTTTCCCAGGGAGTTTCCTCCTGGCTGGCATCTCCCAATCACAAAAATCTCTGTTCATTCTCACTGCACAAGCTACAGGCTATTTTCAGTCACACCAACTCAACTGTCCTACAACCAAGAGTACACATACAATGTGCTGGACAGAACAGAGGCTGGGAGAAAGAGGCCAGACACAGCTGGTCCTCTACAGAGGCTTCTATGAGAAAGCCCTCTTCTGCCAGTCCATTACCTGCAGTACATGATGGATGAATGGTGCTCCCCATACTCCTCCTGGCTCAGGACGATGAAAGGCTGCTCCTGCCGGACCCCCACAGCCTCTGCACTGCTGGGAGGCATTTTTGTTGAAGTCTCTGCTTGCTCAGCATGCAGCTCTGAGCACGGCTCTGTCTCAGCTGTGCTAATATCTGTTTTCTTCTCAGCACTTTGGCCCTGAAGGAAGAAATCCTGTGTGAAATACAAGGAAGCAGCAGCTCCAGATCAAGCTCTTCAGCCACCCCAGCCTGCTGGGAGAAAAAACCAAGAAGCTGCACTGAAACAGAAGCATTATCAGCTCAACACCCCTTCTGCCAGAGACCTTTCTGAGCACAAGGATAGTATGTTGTGCAATTGCACCATTTATCACGGCCTCCTTGCTTGTAGAGTCCCTTATATCCCCCTCCGTGTACCTAGCCATACTCTTTCCTATAAGAATCAAAGGAACCACAACATCTGTTTAGCATACCTCAGCTGATATGAGGCCCATTTTGATGACATTAGAATGCAGTCTCACAAGCAAATCAACATATTTCAAGGAATTCTTGTATTCAGCAATTTAAGTTAAGTCAGTATAATATGCAGTTCAGTAAACCTGCACAAAAACTCTTGTTGGATGGTGAGCCCCAGTGGATGGATTATCCTTGTCTGCCAGAGATTTAGTCTGTGTGCACTGTGTCAATCACGGCAGCCAACTGACTGATGATAATGGTAGAGTCAAAATATGAATCCAAAAGCTTAAAACCCAGTTTGACAGGGCAGACAGAACAAACGGAGTTGTAGGAGGTGAAGGTACCTGCATGAGACAAGAGCTGCACTGCAGCACACATAAGTGTTTGAAAGCAGCTTAGTCTTCCCTTGCCACCAGAAGCTGAACAAGAAGTAGATACAGCACATAAGCCAGTAAAACATCTGCAAGCATTCCTGTGCTAAACCATCCTCTGAAGATTAAGTGCCCCAAAATGGCATTGGTGGTTTTGAATCCCTGTTCCCTAACACACCCTTGCCTTATTTATAGTAGCTTTTACATATGGAGCAGTGGGTCAAACACTGCATAATCAAATAATCTGGAAAAAAAAAAGCTGGAAAAGATTGGGAAATAAATCCAGGAACACCTCTCTCTGTGTTAGTTAATGTGGGGAGATAACAACCAATGAATGACACTCATGTGAAAGAAACGGTGCTCCCTTCTAGTTTTGTTTTTGCTCACATGCATTGAGAACAACAGAAAGCTAAATAGTATCAGCTTCCCCTAGAGCACCAGAAGCAACTTTTACAAAGCCAGGAAAACACTGCCTTAACCTGGAACATCACATTGGGAAACTGGGCTTTGCGATTTTCTGACCAATGTTTAATTAAAATGTTTTAGATGAGCCATGAAGAAAAAAGTTCTCTCATAGCCTTGAACACTCAGTGGTGCAGTAACATCTCCTCCCTAAAGCAGCACTCCTCCCCGCAGAACAGCCACACATATGGGCCGATAGGCAACAGTCCCTCAGCACTGTCTCTCCTCCAAGCAGAGCGAGTGTCTCATACAGCCAAAATAAACATGGCTGAGATGCTGCCATCATTCCTCCTGTGCTCTGTATCCTTTGGCCACATGGCTGCTGAAAGCCAAACACTACATAGGTGAATAGAAGCAGTCTGCTGACCTTCAGCAATTAAAATTCAGGACACAGTTTTATTATTTCATTAGATTAGAAAGCAGGGCACATCCCCAGGCAAAATTGCAACATACAGTGCAAAAAAACTCCAAAAAGCAAATGTTGCTATGAAGGGTATTTCCACTCCTATCCAGGAAAACTTTCTATCAGTTTTTATCTGTCCCACACAGAGCCTGCATAAACCAGTATAAGAACCCACAGGAGAGAACTCACTTGGACAGGATGGGTAAGCCGAGCCCATTGCCACTAAGGAATGGGGATTATAACAAGGTATTTGAATATAACCATTAAGGTGGATGAAAGGTATCCTCCCCAGGACCCGGCTGTCGAAAAGATCATGACAAAAGACAACTCTTTTTCCATTTGAAATGTCAATACTGATTCCATTCCAGGGACCCCAGAGTGTGGAAGAAGTTGATTAACTACAGAGATTAACCTTTGATACAGTTAGATCTGAGTAGCAATTCAGAAGCTTAACAGGAACACTTGCACTTGTTTTACCACCTAGCACAACAAACTACAGAAACACCAGCCCTCCACTTCCCAGCCTTGCAGCGTTGCCTGGTACCTGGAAGGTCCCTTTTGACAGCAGTTCCTTCCTTTCTTTCCCATGCTCTTGCAAGCGCTTCTGCCGCTGCTGTAGGGAACTTGACTCGCCTGCTACTAACCCACTGAAGTGGCTCTTCCCGTCCTTACAGCTCACTGTTCCTTCCTTTCCTTTGGCACTCTGGAAGGCAGAGGAATGATTTGGCAAAGTTACGCTTGTGCTAGGCTGCAGACCAAAGAGCAAAAGAGGAGGCAAAGAAACCAAGCACCTGCAAGGGCTCCACAAGCCCCCAGACAACAGCAGCTGTTTTGTGCTGCATTCAGGCCCAGCATACACTTGCAAAGAAGGAAAGGACATTTTATTTTTTCAGGTGGAAGCAAAAGCTTGGAGCAGTGCTGTGCTGCCAGTTAACTCCTTGGATACCGAGCACCTTTCAATGAACACAGTTGAGAATTACCTGGTGATTTATTGGTTCTTTCTTCCCGAGCAGCATACTGCCAGGCTGCGTTGGAGAAGCCCCACTTGGATGGGCTGGTCTGGAAGGGCCCTTCTTACTTTGAGAGAGAAAGGAAGACAGGAAGCCTCCCCGGGACTGAAGAGAATGTGCAGTACTCCTCTGGCTGCAGGTCATATCACTAATTTAAAAAAAAAAAAAACAAAACAACAAAACAAAACACCACACACGCAACAAAACACCAAACAGAATATGAAAGTGTAGCCAGACAACCTGATCAAAGACCACCCAACAAGCAAAGCAACAGCTGTTTGACCCACTGGACAAGAGATGTTCCCTTCCAAGCCAATGGACCACTATGCATTAAAAAACTGTTTTAAAACATCCCTTTAGTGCCTGGAGGAGATCCTTATAATTACTGTAACCAAAGCTCATTTCTCAGAGATGCCACTGAGGCAGCTGGCCCAGCTGTTCCTGAATCCCCTGTAGGGCCACCTCAAACTCCTTCCACTCCATCTAGTTAGTTTAGAAAGACCCTAAGGGAAAGGCAGGGGAATCCCGATTTCCAAAGAACCTATTCAGCTGTGATTCCTGATTCAAGGCATAAAACAGACCTACTCTGAGAGGCATTCTGTATCCTGTTTTTCACTGAACACCCTTAGATATTCAGCAAGCCATGTTCAGCAATTTTAAAGCACAGGCCCTCAATATCTCAAAACTGAACCCAAAGAAAGTAAGAAAGTTTAGGTCCATTTCTATGATTACACAGACCTCCCTTCTCAGCCCACACCACCAAGAGCAGCAGCTACCTCCCAGAATGTAACTGTCTGATCTCACTTCGCTACAGCTTCCTCAGAGCAGTGCAGCACCCAGGGGAAGGGAATACAATCACCTTCACTGTGTCTATCCTCTCTTCTAGGAAGGAACTGTTCTACCAAAGTTGGGCTCTGGGCTGAACAGAGACATGGAAAAAGCAACCAGAACTGGCCCCTAGGCTAAGAGACAAGTTGCACACACAAGAAATGCCAGTTCTAAGGCAAGTTTTTCTAATACAAATGGACAGAAATTAATATGGGAATAAATTATCCCATCCCTCACATCCCTCTCCCCCATGTGTGCAGATGAACATCAGGGCTTTCCACACAGAGTAGTCAAACAAACAAACAAAATCTCAAATTAAACTCTGTACCCTGTCCTGTGCAGAGCAGTTACCAAGATAGTTCACCAGACACTTAGGTCTTATTTAATCGACAACTTTTAGACTAATACAAAGACTTTGTGTGTGGTCTCTGCTACAAGTTCTATTTGTCATTGTCAGCAGCATAATTTGATCAATCCCCCTCCTGTCTGAGTAGAAGTGAAAGAAGCACATGAGAAAGTCAAAGCCCCAGCAGTGCTATTAATACATTGTGGCTAAGCTGCATTTGCTTTCAGATCATTTTAAAATAAGGAGGGAAAAAAAAAATCTCAATAACACAGTGAATTCAAACACACAGACTTGCTTTGCATAACTGTGTAGTTGGGGGGGGGGGGGGGGAAATCAGAGTTTAAATAAGAATTAAACAAGGTGCATCACTGTGTATGTTGCCTAATTTCCACAGATAGGAATACAATAAATGTAGCCATAAAACACACTAACTACAGCAAGTTTATGGGGAATTCTGTGCATAACTGAGCCTTGCAGAAGAGAAAATCCTTTCCCTTAACTTTGCAAAAGCAAGAAAGCGTCTCTGCGTAACGATGACCCCTTGGGTCACACAGTAAGTGTCTACAAAACAACACAGTGCATTCACCTACTGCAGTGCAGGCACTAAAGAAAATAGAAGTCAAGAGACAATCCACTTCATCTGAGCAATACTGCAGGTTATTGCACTGCTAGCAGTGCCCTGGCTGCCCAGAACACCTTGGTGTAATCCTGAGAGCAGAGCAGAATCACTTCCATGTGTGCTTGGGCTCTCACCAGTTGGCAAGAATCTCTCTCCCAAATGGCAAGAGAGATGCCTGTCATGAATTCCCCCACTAAACCCACTTAGGTCACCAGAATTTCTGCCTGGATGTCTTTTTGCATTGTTTCCCAGGGCAGGGAACAAGGATATGACCCTCCAGGAGCCTCCCTGACCCAATAAAAGCAGCAGAGCCTGTCCCCAGCTCCTCCTCTGCAGGCACTCACAGCTCAGAGTCCCCTAGTCGATCCATGTTGGCCACATATGCAGGCAACTTGTGATGCACAACTGCTTGTTCCACCTCCAGTTCCTCTTTCTTCATGCGGGAGGATTCAGCCTGCAAAGCAAAAAGCTACAAGGAGAGAAGAGAGCCAAGTAAGCAGAGGGCCACTGAGATTCACCTCCTTCCCACTCGCTGAAGTTGTTTACTCCTTTTATTTCAACAGCCCTACACGGGTGGGGAAGGAAGAAAGCTGCTCTGACTGGCTGAGCACCACATTAGTCCAAGTAGTCAAAACAATCAGTACTTTACACACATGAAACTGGAGCCTACTTAAAACCCTTCTCTCCTTGGGCTGTTGCTGTAGGAACATTAATGGTGCTGGGAAATGAGACCCGGCCAGGGGTCTCTTGAACTGCAGGCAGTTCACGGCCAGGGCAATGCACGTGACTGGCAGTAGCGATGCATGGGCACTGAGCCTAGAAGGCAATCTTCTTCCCACAGACAAGGGTTTGGTGAGCTGGCAGGGTGCAGTGAGGCCAACGCCATCAGATCACCCTGAAATCCAGCTCCACACCCTGCCCAGCTCCCTTCCAAGCATGACAGTGAAATTTATCTCCACATTATGGAGAAAGAAACATTTTTCTTTTTCCCCCTTAGCAGAGAGGAACCTCAGGATGCAGCTTTCTGTGACAGATGTGGTTTATGCCTATGACTCTTGTTCACATGAAGAGTTCCTCAGGCTTTTCTGTTTCTGCACATTTGTTTTTCAGGTATCATTCTTCTTTTTCCTTTTATCATAGTATTTAAGGAAAGAAATTACAAGAAAAAGGAGCTTTAGAAATCCAGCTTGCTATTCATGTATTTGCATTGTTTCAACAGTGAAATCAGCATCACTACTTAATTTCAAGTATTGAATTTGATGCTAGTTATTCGCACCATTTTTCATTTAAACCCGTATCCTATGGGCAGCTGCTTCCTTTTCTGACCTGAGCCGCTCTCCAGAAGGGAAAGTCTAGTTTTTACCTCTACCTATTTGCCAAAGAACACTTATGCAGTCTGTAAGTGATATCAATCAACATACCACAAACAAAAAACAGCTTTAACTTGACCAGAAGTACAGAATACAAAATTGGAGGAAATAAAAGAGCTCTATTTCAAAACATACCTTATCCTGCTGTCCCTATTCACTGACCATCTTTGCAGAACCCTCCTGTCAAAGTTTTCCTGACCCACTGACTCCATACAGTACACAGTGACAAACAAACCTCACTTTTCTTTCGCAAAAAAACCTCCTTTTTGAAATCAATTATTCTATTTTACTTCAACATTTTTAGGACAAATGAACAGTGTTGATCAGCTACCAAGACAGTTGAAACAGAAAGCACAACATACAATACAATGTTTTGCAACACAGGAGGTAAAGCACAAAACCTATTTTACTGAAGTATTTATATGGAGAAAGCTTTTACTTGGTATTTTGGAGGAAGTGAAACTTAAGTCCTGCTTACGTGAATAAGGCTTCCCACTTGTATGCGATCATCCACATGCAATCTGTACTTCAGAAAGTTCTTAAATCGTGTATTTCCCGAATCTAACAGAAAATTATACTGGGAAAACACTGACCCGTTTTATATATTCTTACACCCTCTCTCTAAGCATCTGCTGATGATAGTGTCAAAAACAAGATGTGGAGCTGGGCGACATTTTGTCTGAACTGGTCAGTCCTTCTTACAGTTTACTGTAAGGTCTAGAGTTGGGAAACAGACATTCACAACATTTCCATTAGCTGATCTAAATTGCTTTAAGTGCACTTCAACCATGGTGAAGTGGCCACTTCAGAAGTAACAGTTTCTGCCTCTTTGCCAGAAGTTATTGCCTGTTTCTTTTGCTCCATCAGCTAAAATCTGGAAGTGACTGAATACTATTCACAAGTTTCCATGCAAAATCAGACATGTATGCACTTAACCCGCCACTAGTTTCACCTTGTCTTGACTTTGCAGTGTAGTAGGAAAGGAGTTTACACAGTATCCAACCACCTGTCAGATAGCGCAGGGAGAAGAACAGTCACCTCCAGTGGAGGGACAGTAATACCCTAAACAGACATTTCACAGTATGATCACAGCCTTAAGTTTGCTGTAGACAGTTGAAAGATAAACCAAAATAACAACAAAGGACTTACAGAAGAACCTGCCTTGGAGTAACTGCACTGAACATTTACAACTTTCTTAAATCGATGAAACCAATTTTACAAAACTCACAGCCTCACACAGTCAGCAACTAAAGAGTGACTTCAGTTCTGACCTTATGCCGCAACGATTCATTTTCTTCTTGTATGAGACTGCTCCTGAGACATTCAGCTTCAAAGTTCAAAATGACTGGAACTGGTGAGGAATGTTAAAGAAAACCAAGGCAAGAACTTGTGTGCACCTGGCTTAATTCTAAAAGCCAGCACTTCATACCGGCCATTTGCCTGTAAGACAGCAAAGCTGCCCGGTCCATACTACTGGCAAGAATTATGTGCAAGGCCAGAAGACTAGTAACAGCTTAGTTACCTAAGCTAACTTTGTACTTTCTTTGTACTTTATTGTTGCACACACTATTTCACATAGGCTTTGCAAGGATTTTTAGATTCTTCCTTTTCACACATCACAAGTGGAAGACAAGACAGGTTATGTTACTGCATTAGTGTACACTGAAGAAACAGTTCAAAATGAGCTGTATACCAGCTGCAGTGTATACCTGCCCATCAGCAAACAAACAAGGTCAGAACTTGGTAGTGTGGGACAAAAGCTGTTATTTCTGCCAATGTTGAACTGCCCTATTACAGTGAGCTGTCACCAGAAAGTGTTGTGAACATATGAACCCAGAGAAGGGTCTAAACACGAGATGCTAGTTTAGTTATGGACTATGACCCAAGGTTGCATGCCTGTTTTGTACTATGCCAAGCAAAGAGGAAAAGTGTTTCAGAACAAGATGAGCACAAGATTTCTAGTCACTAGCATAGGCATGAGTTCAGCATTAGCAACAACGACAACTGTTTGTGCCCAGGGAATATAACATACCATCAGATAATTGAACAATAACTATTCCAACATCTTCTGGCAAACACCAGCTTTCTATTAAGTCTTGGCTCTAAACAATCACCTGAAAGCAGCAAGTTCTGTAACACTATATTCTTGGCACCACTGTTAATAGTAAGCATAACACCAGGGCAAGGGACATTTAACTATTAATTGCAAAAAGGATATGCATGCACTGAAATAAGACACTCAGGAAGTTGTGCAGAGACACAATAAATGTATCTGCCCACTGGCGTGAGAAATAGGTGGCGAAGGCGGGATTGGAGTCTGGAGCAGGGAGGAAAGGCAGGACAAACCAATCCTTCCACTCTGCCTGGTTCTGGAGCTCAGAGGCCTGCTTGAGGAAAAACTCCTGCGCCTTGTCATTGCGGCCGGTCTGAAACACAGCAAGAAGAACAGGGCTCATACTTCTATTCATGCCACCACATAGGTTCTAGGAATATTTGCTCTATCTTATGAACACACCAACAGCTACTTTTACCACCCAACAAAGCAAGTGGTTCGAGTTAACAGATTAATCTATGAACAAAAGAATCTCAAATACACTTGGTGAAGCTCACAAATGCACTTAATCCAACCTTCTTTCTAGTCACCACAGTCTTGTTTAAAGGAACCAACCACTTACATTGGTTTCCAGCTAAACCAGTGCAGTTTGTGCACTGACATAAGACGTGAGCATTTGTATACAGGACCAAAATACACTTAAAATTACTCAAGTCTAAGCAGAGGTAGCCTGAAAAGGTTTCCATTTGATACGTTATTCAGACAGAACAGTCACACCTCAGGGTAAGCACAGGGCAAAACAAAACATGAAAAAACACACTTCCAGAAACGTGCATTAGATTTTGACTCCTCCACCAACACCCATCATTTCAGATTTTTAGTCAGGGAATGGAATCAAGGAGGAAACATTGCTTCTAAATGCTAAGAAGTGATACATGAATTCGTGACAGGTATTTGTCTATTCTGTTGGCCAAAGCCCACCCCGTGTAATATATTCCATTGACTTTCCTACGGTTTCAACAAGATAATCTCTGCTCCATTTTAAGCTCATTATTTTCTGTTCTATTCCAAGCAAACAAAAAACATTCACTTATTTTCTCTCCCACATTACCTTGTACAGATTTGAAGCCCACTTCTCCCCTCTCTTATAAACTAGAACTCAACTCCACCAACTTCAAGTCACCCTTTTTGTCTGCTGGACCCTGCAACTCCCTTGATGCTTCAAGAACTGTGGTGCCTGGGAAGACTGCCTGAGTCCTGCCAGCAAGTTAGGGTGGAAGGAATACAGATAATCCTGCCTGCTGATCCCCGGCACTCTAGTAAGGCCCTTCCCTGCACTGCTGCTGCCTGCTCAATCATTCCTTGTTCTGCACCAGAGCAGCTGACTACTCCTACCTACCTACATACAGGTGCTTGGGGCTTTTTTCTGCCTGTTTCTTCAACTTACAAAGATTGCTTTGAGCGCTGTTCTTGCCCTCCTCTGTTCTCATGGCAATGCCCCATGAGGAAGTGTTTACGAATCTTGTCATCTCTCCCAGTATTAAAGTTATCAACAGAGGCTGAGCAGGACTGAGCCAGCAGTACAGCCATTCTGTCTGAGGGGGAGCTGCTTTCATGTCCACTTGTGAATATCTTGCTCCCAGCTAACTGTATTTCCCTCTCGCCTGAGCTTCCCTATACTGCTTAGAAGCTTGTCATGTGAGTCTGCGTCAGATTCTTTACTACATGACACATGAATTGCTTGTCTCTTACCCATCAGGCATGTCAGAGGCTCACAAGGGTATTTCATTGCTCTGGTTTCAGAGACCAGGACCTTTTTAAAACAGGAGCCTAAAAACCAAACACTACCTGAACAGTATGGATGAGGTAGTATCGGAATAAGCTGGTTTTCAGCTTGTTCACTGTAGGCCGGTACACATCTTCCAAACGGCTGAAAAGGCGTCGGTCTAGATAACTCCAGTAATCCCGCAGGGCAGCCAGATCATAGCTCTGAACGAACTGCTGCAGCTGGTCCACTATCTTATCCACCTAAAGAGGGCAAAAAGGGAAAGACTGCAGTCATGTGAGGACTCTTCTGGCACAAGAGACTTTCTCTACCTTAATGCTGAGAAGCTTTAACTGCGCAAAAATACTACAATCTAGCACTTATGAGTTAGCTATTGTCCTAATCCAGGAAACGCTCTGCCTTTCGTATTAGCATTCTTCCAGTCTGCAGCACCTTCCAAATAAAAAAAAAAAAAACCCAGGAAAAAACAGAGTCAAACAGATTTTGACAAAAAGATCACATTTTGTTAAACACGGTGGGATTTTTTGCAAGTAAGGAAAACATTTTCACTTCTTTTAAAAGTCAGTTGATAATGAAGAAACAGGAATAATGTGATTAATTGTTGAAAACTCAAGTGCAGCACCTGGCAAATAGTATTATTTTTAGACTAAAAGGAAAAAACCCTGTATTTAGCCAACAGCAAGAGGAAGAAAGATCTGTTGTACTGAAAGCTTTGAATTACCTTTATCTTTAATAACACCATCTACTACCAAGGCAGGCATAAAAGTTTGCAACAGAATTTTTTTTTTTGTCATTATGTCTCTTTGAAAATAATTTCTGCATTATGAATAAGGCAGAATGGTGGCATGGGAATAGATTTTTAGTTCAGTGATTTCTGATGGCCAAGACAGGCATCAGAAAAACAAATCTGCACCCTATACAAAGTTCAGCTATGAAAGTTGTTTAATATGTGGTTTGCTCTCCCCTCATCACTTAATGTCCTAAGACATTGTCCAGCCTCTATCTCTGTGGCTTCCTACAGATAAAATAAACAGAAGTCTGTGACCCCAGCAATCCCTTCTTAATTTTGTCTTGGACAATGTTATCCCAATTAAATCAACTGTTTGCCTACCTCTAAACATTATAAAGTGTTTTAAGAATAAAAGCAACATGTTTTATGAATGATAAAGGTAGTGGTTGTACTGCTGGTTAAAGAAAAGTCTGACCGTTCAAACCCCTACACTCAGTGCCCAGAACTGCTGCTGCAGGAACACGAAGCTTGCACAAAAGACTGAAACCGTATTTTTGAGACTGGCAAATTTTGCACCAACTTCTGCGCATCTAGCAAGGTAGCTGGTGCTTAAAACATCCAAACTGAGGAGCGGGAGCTGTAAAGCCGCTGGGTAAAAAAAAAAAAAAAAAAAAGATCTCATGACCGAGAAGAGATCCAGGCAAAGAGATGTCCTCCGGCCGCTGCCCTCTCGTACATGCATCTCCTCCGTTCCTCTCGGCACGGCGCTGAGGAACATCTGGTGGTCTACAGGTCGGACGTAGGGTCCACAGACGCCGGTTTTGGAGGGGCCGAGCAGGGCGCGGGGCGGCTGGCCGGGGACGGCGGCCCCGGGCTGCGAAGCCAGGCG